AAAATTTTATTTTGTTTTTACTTATTATAAATATCAAACTATTCAAAATAATTATTTGTCATTATACAGGGTGTTTTAAAAAATATGTGCCATCTCTAGCGGAAGAGATTGCTCACGTAAAAATAAGATTTATTTTTCATATCAACATAGGTCCGATTCTGCTTTGTTTCGTAGCTACAGGGTGTTGAAGTCTTAATAATGTTTCGATTTATTATAATTTTCTTTCAAGTACTTTTAGTGATTTGAATGAAATTTTAAGGGTAAAAGTTACTATAAGTGCTACATGTTACAAAGGTAGAAGTATACAAAGTTACTATAAATGCTACTACGGCGTGGAACGTCCGCACTCTACTGGAAAAGATAAACTCAAATCTACCAGAGAGAAAAATAGCGCTGGTCTCACAGGAACTCCACCGATTAAACATAGATGTTGCCGCTCTAAGCGAAACACGCTTTGCGGATGAAGATAGTCTCACTGAGGAGCATTACACCTTCTTTTGGAAAGGACACCCCGCAACACACAGTAATTCATGGTGTAGGCATTGCGATCAAAAACGAAATCGCCACCAAGTTAACAGAAGTACCTATTGGTGTCTCCGAACGTCTTATGACCCTAAGGTACCCCATATCAGACAAAACTTACGTCAACATCATTAGTGCCTACGCTCCCACCCTTGACGCTAAAATTGAGGATAAGGCTAAATTTTACCAAGCTTTACAAAATGATCTCCAACGAATTCCAAAGCATGAACGAATCATCTTGCTAGGTGACTTTAATGCCCGTGTTGGCATACAACAGGAAATATGGCCTGACGTATTGGGAAAACATGGAATGGGAAACGTAAATAACAATGGTGAACGCTTATTAACAACATGCGCAGAGTATAATCTTTGCATCACCAATACGTGGTTCATGTTGAAGGACAAGTTTAAAGGTACCTGGAAACATCCTAGATCAGGCCACTGGCATCAATTGGACCACATAATCGTTCGAAGGACGAATCTAAAAAATGTTAGGCTCACAAAAGCCAGAATAGATGCCGAATGCGGCACTGACCACCGACTTTTAATTTCAAAAATGAAAATCCAGTTAAAACCCAAGCATCCACACTGTAAAAAGCAAAACAACATGACCAGATTGAACGAACGGGGCCTAGAGAACAACAATACCGCCGACGCCTTCCGGGAAGCCATCTAAGAATCACTTCCACCGATAACTTCAATCTCAATATTGGAAGCTGAACAAAGCTGGACACAATTAAGGGATGCGATTCATAAAACCAGCGAAGCAGTACTGGGAAAGTCGAACAAAAAGAAACAACCAGACTGGTTTAACGAAAATCAACCGCATATACAGGCTTTGTTGGAACAAAAGCATAGAGCACATCAAGCAGTCACTGCAAATCCACATAATCCAAGACTGGTAGACAACTTTAAAGCAGCCAACAACACGCTTCGCAGAGAACTGCGCCAAGTAAAGGATAACTGGTGGTCACAAAAAGCGAATCAGATTCAAGAGTATGCCACGCATCACGATTATCGTAAATTCTTCGAGGCTGTAAAAGAAGTATACGGTCCAACTAAGAAGGTAAGCTGCCCAATCACGCACAAAATGGCGAACTTCTAAAAGAGGAAGAACAAATCAGAAATCGCTGGAAAGAACATTACAGCCATATCCTTAACCAAGAAAACAACCCCAATATGGAAGCACTAAACACAATACCTCAGTATAACAGCCTCGATGTATTAGACATCCCAATAACAGAACAGGAAATAAAAACCTCCGTAAAACAGCTTAAAAACAACAAATCAGCTGGCTGTGACGCGATTCCGGCGGAAATCTATAAGTGTGCAAGTAGAGAACTTATTGGTCATCTTAAGGCTCTCTTCGATGTCGTATGGGAAAGCGGAGAAGTACCTCAGGATTTTCGTAAGGAAGTGCATCAGACTGCGGAAATTGCCGGGGAATTTCGCTACTGGTTATCGGTGGCAAAATTCTTGCAAAAATTTTGTCAAACCGCCTGCACCCATATACAAGGTGTTTCAAAACAAATGCGAAAAACTTCAGGCGGGTGATTCCTTGTTCAAAATAAAGGGTAGTTTGCTTCATAAACGTTGGGTCAAAAGTCAACCATTAGGGAGATATTGCAATACAAAAATGGCGGAAAAATAATGTTTTTATTTTTTAGCTTGAAAACGAAAAGAGATAGATTAATAAAATTTTATGGAAGCATTACTGTTATGAAAACACACTTTCTGGTAATTTTTTCACTTTTTTAAAATGAGTGGAAGGGGTTGAAATAAACTACCCCTATCATTCTTGTTAACGAAATTTAAAGAAAAATCTTATCAAATACGTGCAAAAATTTGGATAGTTTAGTTTGTTTAGAAACTTTTTTATCTCTTGTATTTTTTTGATAAAACTCACCGATTTAAAATTAAAAAATAAAATGTAAAGCATTACATGTCAGGACAAAAAACATTTTCTGATAAAGAATCTAGTGGGCTGCTGTAATATTTTTAGGAAAAAATCTAGTCGGCCGCTGTTACTTTTTAGGATGTTCCTAATATTATTTTATTTGACATTACTCTACTGCAATACCTTATTATCTAGATGATTATTATTATCATTATTATTACTAGATTCTTAATCTAAAAATGTTTTTTGTCCTGATATGTAATGCTTTACATTTTATTTTTTAATTTCCAATCGGTGAGTTTTATCAAAAAAACACAAGATGTAAAAAAGTTTCTAAACAAACTAAACTATCCAAATTAAAGCATTTGCATGTGTTTGATAAGATTTTTCTTTAAATTTCGTTAACAAGAATGATAGGGGTAGTTTATTTCAACCCCTTCCAATCATTTTAAAAAAGTAAAAAATTACCTGGAAGTGTGTTTTCATAACAGTTATGCTTCCATAAATTTTCATTAGTCTATCTCTTTTCGTTTTCAAGATAAAAAATAAAAACATTATTTTTCCGCCATCTTTGTACCGCGATATCTCCCTAATGGTTGACTTTTGACCCAACGTTTATAAAGCAAACTACCCTTTATTTTGAACAAGGAATCACCCCCTAAAGTTTTTCGCATTTGTTTTGAAACACCCTGTATAGAAAAAATCCTTCCAGAATCGCAAACGGGTTTTCGTACCAACCGCGGCACCGTCGATTCCATATTTTCCATCCGTCAACTACAGGAAAAAGTAAAAGAGCAGCAGTCTAAACTTTCTGTTGCATTCATCGATCTAACAAAAATGCAATAATATACGAGGTGATCAATTCAAAAAAAATCATTCCGCGCCACTCACACTTTTTAACCTACACACCCTATAAAAGTTAAAATATTTTCCTGAAAGACCTAGTACATACTTTAGATGTGCACTTAAACAAAATTCGCAAGTTTTTTATTCTAGGAGCTACAGATGCCCAACACACTATTGCCGGACCCTGTATAAATTTTCACTATTGTAAAATACACCATGTGATCGAAAAAAGGTGTCAATATAGCTTAGAAATATGACTTGGAAACTCTCACGCTGTTTTTTTCGATCCTATGTTTTTTTATTCAAAGGGATGTGTATTACCTGATAGTTCTTGATATCACTACAGTAATGCAATTTTTTTATAGAAAGCAAACCACTAATTGCGGACACTATCCTCGATTGAATGAAATATTCTAACAATAATTCTGTTTTAAATTCTCTTCGGGTAATCACATGCTCAGAGTGTAAAGTACCGCCATATTTAACAATAGTAACTGACTTACATATATTTAATCTATTAAACCATGTTATTATTTTGATTCTTTTTTTTATAGCAACAACTGTTAAAATATATCTATCAAAAATAGTAGATAAAATAGTACTTTAACCGCCAGGGTAGATTAAATGATACTTTAACAACGAGGATAGGTTAAAAATAGGTTTTTGAAAATTTTTGTATTCCTTTTCATAAATTATTCGGGATTTAAATGGAAGTAGCTTGGATATTGCGTTTGTCGCCTCAGAATGCCTGAATATCTGTTGGTAATTTACTTATTTCGTTTTGAGCCATTTCTGGCTCCAATTCAATCAGCAATCGACACGAAAAATAATTAAAAAATATTGACTCTGAAAACTAAAGAGACATCTTTATTTATTTGTCAAATTACATAGAAACCAACACCAATCCAGCACAATATTTGTTCTACTCAAGAACAATGATTTATTTGTTATTCAGACAAGAAAAGATCTCTAAAATAACCAAACAAACATGTAATCAATGCATTGTCATAATATATATTTATTGAAAAAAGTATGGGCTCTAGATCCTTTTTTAGTCAAAATCAAAATAAACTAATAATATAAGTAATATCTTTTATATAACTCTTTTAATTAGATGTTTTTTATATTAATATTCTTCTTAAAAACTTTTATAAATAATACATAATATACAGGGTGAGCCCCCAACATTTTTTTCACTATTTTGAATGGACAGTAGGGTGAGCCAAAAAAACTAATCTATGGATTTTATGGGTTAAAATGAACCTAATAACCGAGAAAAAAATATCCCCGGAGGGCAGGATTTTTAGCTCACTTTTAAAAGGTGTCGGTGAACATTGAAAGTTTTCATTTAAATAACACGTAAAAAAATTTTTTTATTAAAAGTATGATAACTTTGAAACGGTTTACGATATAAAAATCCTGCCTTCCGGGGATATTTTTTTCTCGGTTATTAGGTTCATTTTAATCCATAAATTCCATAAGTTAGTTTTTTTGGCTCACCCGAATGCGCCCAGACGTGGCATTTTTTATATCTTATGTTTTTGATGGGATTTATTTTTATGAGTATGGTTTAATGAAATGAGTTTCTAAAAATCGTCAAACGATACAAAAATGCATATAAAATTTAAGTAAACATTAGGTACTTAATCCTTGTAATTATAAGTCATTGACATTACTTTATTATCTATTACAGTTAATTACAATAAAAATATATTACAATATAAATATCACTTACCTTTTATTAAGTCTTTCTGAACTTTATCGAGATATTCCTTGACATTGTCTTAATTCAGTACACTGTTTGTTCCATTTTAAGCACATTAGTAACACATACAGCATACAGCAGAGGTAATAAAGCAATTTAAGTTCTGTGACGATCTTAATTAATAATATTACATTTTATGAATAGCATAAGTAATAAAAGATTATTGTTATAAGCGATTGCGGTTTCTAGAAATACTAATAATTGTTAATAACATTTACTTTCTACAGTAGTTGATAGCGTGTGTTATTTTCTGCATTTGATATGACCTTACTTTCGCTGAGGTTTAACTGCATTTATACAGGATGTTTCATAAATAGATGCAAATACTTTATTAAACACATTTACTGTTTTTAATTGAAAATTGCAAGTTTATTTCGTTTATTCGATAAAGTAACATCAGAAAAATAGGTAAACCTAGATAAGTTCTAAAATTTCTGTTGATACAAGAGACATAATAATATTATAACATTTTTAATGTTGCCAGATTTTAAAGGAATATCTGCTGAATATAACCGTTGATTGAAGAAATAAGAATATGTGCAAACTTACGGGCGATTTCGTAGCACAAAACCTGTCTGAGATGTAGCTGCCGTTACCGTCAGCCTGTCCGAGAATTCCGAGATTTAGTTTAGCTCTGCGCCGCCGCCGCTGCGCGCCGGTAGTCGTTTGCAGCGCAGGTGATAAAGAATACTGTACCGTAGTCCTGCTTCCAGTCGACAGAGTGAGTGGTTGCCGGAGGCAATGTTGCCAGAACTACTGATTAATCCGTAGATTTACGGATTTTGGGTACATTATGTTAATAATACGGATTTTCTATCATTAAACAACATAATATAATATTATATGATTAAACAAAGAACGGCGTCAGTGTTGGCTTGGAAATGAAGATCGCTGATATTTCATATGTAAAATATTATGGTAAATGTCAATAATTGTCATTTCCAAGCCAACTAAACGACTTTTTTCGATCATACGACATATTCAGTACCTATAAAAGAATTTGTATTTTTGTTCTTTATTCTATGTTAATCACGAGTAAATTTTCAATACATAAACGCGGATTTTTTATCCAAAGATATTTTCATCAAAACGTATTACAGATATGATATTACACATTTCAATATGGCAACACTGTCGCTTTCAGATCCACACCGTTTTTGATATGCCTTCGCTGGGAGAATTAGAGAAAATAAGTGTTTTATGCGTTGACTGCAGAACGATTGGTGTCTCCACCGTACAGCACTTGAGACGTAAGGGGAAATCAAATTACCCTTGTCACGAATTTGCCTATTAGGTTGGGTATCTTCCTAATTCTTTCAATCAACGATATAATTTTTAAATATACTCAGATGCGATATTTAATGAGGGTATTTTTCATTGCTTTAATGAGTAAAAATATAAATTCAGTATTATCATTATTTTGTTTTTTTTTTCAAAAAATTCCAAAATAAAAAAAACTCAACGACAAGATCCTTGACAGTGATAGATGTGTCTGTCATTTTAATTTCAAAGTAGTTTATTTTATTTTACAAAGAAATAAGTTGGTACAACTGGAACGCATAGTAGGAAATAAATATATTTAAAATTTGACTGACAAGTGATTACTTCAAAATATTGTGAAAAAAACTGTATAAAACTGAAAAAATGTAATCGAGTTATTTTATTTAACAAAAAACGGCATGTGTTAATATAAAACAAATAAGAACAAAACACTACATACCAAAAAAAAAAGAACTATTTCTTACTTACAAGCTTCAAGAAACTTGCAAACCCGCATTTATGATTATATTTATCAATATAACTAACTGTAATATTCCACAGGAATAAATAAAACAACATAAATAATACAAACTATTTTATTAATAATAACACTTACCAAATTTTATACCTTAAAGGTTGATTAATTAACTTTAATCTTAATTTTTTTAAACCAGTACCTTTTGACATTATTTTTCTGTAGTACTAAAATCCATTATTTACCTATCGTGTAATGTCGATATTTTACAGCTACTCCAGTTTTTAGTATGTGTTTAGTATGGTCCTTCTACCATATACGAGATGCACTTATCTACGACGAGATGGTATACGAACTTTATTGATGGTAACTTTATTGGTGTATCTTTCTGCCTGGACACCGAGTATTAACTATAAACTGTGATCTGGGTCTACAGTTAATTTTCCCTCGATTTTTCCTCCACTTGACTTCAAAAGACACAAAACACACGTAATAACACGAATCAAAATGCATCACCTTCCAAAACACAGGGTATTTGACAAAAGTTGACACAAAATTATAACCTATAATTTGACAAGCGTCAAAAATCTAAAGGCGAGTTCATACGCATCGGCGTCGGTTTGTCGTTTATCATTCCGTCAAACCAATAAAATTGAAATACGATCTGTCATTTTTGAAATAAACCAATAAAACTGGTTAAAAACAACACGAGACGACGCATGACGGATTTGTATTTAAACCCATCCATAGTTAACTTAAAAATTATTAGAAACTTTTTTTAGTAAAATAAATAGATTGGTATGGGACGTCATCTGCCTTTTTTTCTGTCATCGTCTGTCGAAATCTTACCTGAGAAAAAAAAACAGAGTATACCGCTAAAAATATTTGCACTTATTTAAGACTCATCCTGTATAGTACAAAATAAAATTGCATTGAAGACATATATATGCCATTGTTAAAAAAAGTAATAAAAATACATCTTTCTTTAGATTGACATTTTTTTATCGCTTAATTATACGGTATTATAAAAAGAAAAGTCTTTTATAAAACGAGGTTTCTTATAGTGGAGGGAAAAATTACTTACTCCACGGTATAATGCACACCCCAAATTGGATTTCTGAATGAAACAGCTAACCGTGCGAAAAAGATCGAAAACGATATCTGTAATTTACGTCTGGATCGGACCTTTTCATAGAGATAAAGAGAACAAAACGACGGAGGCGAAAGAAATAAGTAACTATAGCGATACCAAATAAACTTTTAGTTACGTCATCGAGGGCGCGGTTATTAAATTCATTGTTGCCAACCATGGACATATTCGGCACCGGACTGACTAACTGGAATTTAAATTTTCCGCTGGTGATTCAGGTGGTAGCTCTGCTGTAAAAAATGTCAAGTTGCCACGTTTATTTATTTATTCCCTGACATTTTTATTCGTTTTGAAACTTCAGTTTTGAATTACGAGTTCTTAGTTTAAGTGAAGTTTGTTTTGATAACTTAAGCTTAAAAATTTGTAGCATTTTATTTAAATTACACATAATTTATATAAATGTACAGAATTATTTTATTTAAATAAATCAAGTTTAAGTCCTCGCACCGAGATGGCATTCTAAGTACTGCTATTGTCTTTTATTTTTTTTTCTCCAAGTTTATTTCTGGCGAAATATTTCAGTCCGGTCGAAGTTTGTTGGACACTTTATATCTGACGGTGTATATTCGCACTTCGTGCCTACCTTCCCTCGCCATATTGGTGGTAAAGGCTCAAACCGATAGAGCTATCGGCGGTTGTTGGCATTTTGCCAATTTGTTTGAGAAAACCCTCTGAGCAGAGGTAAGACTTTTATTTTTAACGTAACGTTTCCTAATACTTCTTTTTTTTGACAGGGTTTTATTTTATGGTACGCATTTGGTTTAATGGTAGCATTTTTCTGGTGCCATTTTGTTTTTGTACCTGACATTTGGGCCACGTTTTGTCCCTACAATTCACACCGGGAATAACGGAGGAATCTCCTGATTCCACGGCAGTTTAGGATCCTGTCTGTGTAGAGAGACGTTTTTATCACAATCCAGTTCCAGTAGCAGATCACCACAACCAGCTTGTGACCAGAACGGATAAAAAAAAGCCAGATCATTTCTTTTTATATAATTTAAATTCACTTGAATGCATTAAGCCCTTCAGGCATATTATATATTTGATTACTTTAGAGTCACTTTGAAATACTTTATTCATGTTATGCATATTTCTGATATCTACATAGTACGGTTTTTTTAATATAAAGAGTCCCTATATTTTGGTACCAAGATCGCCAGACTTTTTGCGGAATAATTAATGAAATATTAGTATTCAGAAGCGTGCAGATTTAATTACCATCTTGAGTGATCTATTTTGATACATACTATTTACCAACAAACATTTTCAAACATCAAATTTTTCATGGTCTTATTTTATTCTAATTAACATTTAATTATTAATTATACTTAGTTATTAGTTTATCTCAGCGTTTCATTTGTGTAATTCCTAAAATAAGTAATACCTATATTCTGAGTTGATTTCTCAGTTCTCAACTTAGAAGTTTTCGAAAGTAAATGGAAAACTGAGTGGCGCCCAGTATATTATAAAGACGTAAGTATCACAATTTAATTTTCACTAGCTTACGACCCATTGCTCACCGGCGAGCAGCTCCGTCGCATAGTATTAGTTGTTTTAATATTTTTTCCAAAAGAAAATTCTTATAAAAAAAACATTCCATCTTTTTTTATAACTTCTAATGCTACAAATTGTTTACTAGCAGATCTTGCAGTCGAACATTGTTCTTTTTAAAACATCTTTTAGTGCGAACTGTACAAGACAGCTTAATAGCCATTGCAAAAAAACTTATCGCAAACTTATGAGCATATTTTGAACGGGAAAGGTAGTATATATAATAATCGGGGGTTATAATTTCATGTTGTTTTTCGACTATTAGATCTTGTCGTGTACCACCAACACACATGTATTCCGTCTTAGATAGGTTTACTTCAAGACCCCAATGTTTGTATTTTTCGATGAGTTTTTTTGACATTTATTGTAGATCTTCATATTCCTCAGCTAACACTATTTGATCGTCTGCGAAGCATAACGTAGGTATATAGGGTGGAATCATCAGTTAGTGGTATCCCCATGTTTTGGCACTTCCGCTTCCATGTTTTTCGAGAAGACATAGTTAAAAAATGGTATAATACAATTAAATAGTGCATGTGACTTCCGTAAAATATACAGGGTGTTCCATTTAAATTAAACAAGTTATTGCCGTTTAGAGCTAGTAAGTAATTATTTAATATAATTTTTTGGACACTCTGTATAGGCTAGTATATTTTTTATTATTGCAACACAATATCTGATCAATAAATAATCCTCAGTAAATATTTAATATTACAACCTTTAATACCCTTGGAGAAATGAAGCCATACTTTTTTTACTGCAATTTCACAAAATTGAAAAT